TAACAAAAGTCACTAAAAAATAGTCAAGTTTTCAAGTGAAAAAAGCAGCCTGCAGAGTGTGATCAAACAAAATTTTAAGCCTTAAATTCACATTGGCCTATCATGATGCATAAGGTTGGCAATGGTTTCTCTGTGGAACGGGGTAACAGAAAGTTTCTTTTGCTTTCTGATATTTCAGGATATTTCCAAAGTATTATTTTGCAATATACAAAAACATTTAAGACTTTTGAAAGAGAATGTTCCTAGATGGCGGCGTAAGATTTTCCGAGTTCAGAAAACAAAGCCTCTACATTAAGGAGAAGTAGATATCCACAGAGCAAGGCTCTGAATGATGGCCATTGTATTTCCTATGAACTGACTGGAGCAGAAAACATAATGCTTCCACAGGATGATAAAATAAAACAGGAGTTTTTCTTCATGCCGTTGTACAAGGCCTGTGTGGTCAGGGGTAATGTTGTATGTGCCAATCCTGTCCATACAGGCTAACGAAGCGACTGGTGGGAAACCACAGAGCAGAAGAGGTCAGGGTATAGGTACCTCCCACCCCCGACCACTCCACTCCCTCCCAGGAAATCACTGCAGCCCTCCACCCAAGTCCCAAGTCCCCTGCTGGGTTCCAGTTAGGCAGTGTTTTCCATACTACTAAGCTTCCCTCTGAAGTTCTGGGTTTCCCAATAGCTCCTCCCACCCTTGCCCCTTCAGGTCTAGGACTTTAAAACTTCTCACTATTACCAGCCCCAAACTACTGCTTCATCTCTTGTTGAGTTTCCTAAACTCTGCCCACACCTTTGTAAATATTCTCTAATAAACTCTCAATCAAGTCACCCAATTGGCATGTTGCCTGATTCCCAACAGAACTCTGCTTGATGTAGTAATGCCCGCAATGAAAAGAAAATAAGGCCAAGTGCCTTTATACTGCACAAAAGATCTGACCTAAGGTGGTTAAATACATTATTTTCATTCAAGTTTGAGATAAAAAGTTTAACCCTATGTTATCTCTTATTATTCAATGATTATATGATACCAAGAGTATCTTATGCTTTCTAGGTTTTTGTTTTTAAAGACTAAGGAAGTTACTAACCCTTACATAACCTCAGCACATACAGGACAGTGTATTAGAAAAGGGACAGAATACTGGTTATCTATTTCTCATGAGACAAATTGCTTTTGCCACAAATTTAAAAGGTAGGCATTTTTCTCTCATGTTCCCCTTGTATGTGCCACAGGACACCTTTGTACTTTGTTGTGATTGGGTTTTGCTTAGCCCTGAGCTTCACAAGTTCACTGATGTTTCTGATTGGCTCCACAGGAAAGTAGCAAGGACTCACATTGGGTTGATTAACCCTTAAGATGTGAGAAATCCGCCCTGACTGGTTTTGCTCAGTGGATAAAGCATCGACCTGCGGACTGAAGGGTCCCAGGTTTGATTCCGGTCAAGGGCATGTACCTTGGTTGCGGGCACATTCCCAGTAGGGGGTGTGCAGGAGGCAGCTGATCGATGTTTCTCTCTCATCGATGTTTCCAACTCTCTATTCCTCTCCCTTCCTCTCTGTAAAAAATCAATAAAATATATTTTTTAAAAAAAGATGTGAGAAATCCACTAAAGAACTCCTTCTGAAAATGTAAGACCTTCCCCAAGCTTGTTTCAGCAGCAAGCTCCGGTTCTGAGAAGAACATGGGGTCTGTCACTCAGGTGGTCTCCAGCTCAAGTCCCAGGAAAAGCGGGGGGGGGGGGC